CTGCTCCTCAGGGGCGGATGGAGGCTCCGCGTGGTGGCTTGCGGCCCCCACAGCCCCGCTCCGGAGCGGCGTCGCTGCTGCCGGCCCGGCCCCGCTTCCCGCGCTGCCGCGTGTGCCCGGCTACTGCCTGGGAGCATCTTCATCCCTGTCCTCATCCCCATCCTCATCCCCATCTTCATCCTCATCCCCATCTCCATCCTAATTCCTGTCTGTATCGCTAGCTCTATTCCCATTTTTATCCCTGTCTCCATCCCCATCCTCATCCTCATCCCTGTCCCTATTTCCATCCACAGCCTCACTCCTATTTCCATCTTCATCCGCATCCCTATCCCTGTTTCTATCCTCATCCTTGTCTCCTTTCTTATCCCCATCCCCATCCTGCGCCTCCTCATGTTCCTTTACCCATCTCCATCGCCGTCTCTGTCCCTATCCCCATTCTCCTCCCGTCCCTGTCCCCATCCCCACGCGCGGTGGCCCCGGCCCCACGTCCCCAGCCCGGTGCACTCACCATGGCCCCCAACTTTGCGCAACTTGAGACAAAGACCCCGTCCCGGCGCCGCTGTCTGCGCGGGGGGACAGACAGCCTGGTGCCAGGAGGGGCTTAATGAGGGCGCAGGGCTGGGGGTCACGCACAGCCCCACGTGCAGCTTAACCCTTCCCGCGCCCGCCCGGCCGCCTCCAGCTTCTCCATCCTGCTCCTCACTTCCCTCCCGGCCTCGCGCTGGCCCTCCCAGCCGGGCGAGCAGCTGTGTCCTTCCCGACTCCGTCTGCCCCTCCGTCTATCCGTCCACGCAACCGCCCCCTTGTCCCTCCAACCACCCATCCACGTGATCCTCTTTCTCCACGCAGCCTGCCTCCATCTCCTCCATCCCTCCATGCACCCAGCCTGCCTCCATCTCCTCCATCCACCCAAGCTGGCTCCATCTCGCCACCCCTGCAGCCACCCAACCGTGTCTCCATCTTCTCCACCCCGCCAGGCAACCTGCCGTTCCCAGCCCTCCATCCTCGCACCCATTCAGGCCCCTTTTCTCCACCCACCCATCCACCCGTTCATCCTCTCCATCCAACCATCTCCTCCAGCCGTCCTTCTCGTCCGTCCACCCCTCCATCTTCCCCATGCGTCCATCCATCCACCCATCCATCCGCATCTCCACCCCTCTGTCCATCCGCCCCGTTCCCCTCACATGGGGACCTGGGCGAGGGTAGCAGAGCCACTGTGCCCTGCGGAGCCACCAGGCCGGGCCGGTCCCCGTGCTGCTCCAGGCGCCGGCACCAGAAACGGTGAAACCAGTTTGGGAAACCAGCGGTTTCCCCAAAAAAAGGGGAGCGGAGACAGTGGAGACCTCCCACCCCAGCCACAGCGGGGCGAACCGGGGGGCACCGGGGGGTCCCGGGCAGGGCCGGGGCGGATGGGGAGGTGCCGGGTGTCCCGGGCGGGGCCGGGGCGCTGGGCGCTCCGCTCCCGT